AAAAAAAAAAAAACTGCCTGTGAAAAGAGTAGACCACTGAGGCAAGGCCTGACTGCGGGCTGACGGTGTCATAGGACACAATATTCAAACTGGGAGTATCCTGGCCAAATAGGGCAAGTTGGTCACTTGAGACCTAAGGCAAGAGGACATGTCCTGGGCCTGGGGAACAGAAAAGCAAGCCCCTGGCTTGGGACTGTGGAAGGTGGGGGAAGGGGTAGTGGGTCCTTCCAGACACCTGCTCAAACCTGTGTGGCTGGATTCCTAGGCCCCTGGGAGGGGAGAAGGAGTCCACTGAGAGGCCCTTCCTCTCAGCCACCCCACCCCCATCTTGTGAAATCCTAGCCCCAGGGGCTGCGGGAGCCGGACAAACAGCCCCCAGAGCTCATCACTAAGGCCATTCTCCAGCCTGCTATCATCACACCCCACCCTCCAGCCACCGTGGGGCCACCAGCTTAGACCCGCATCCTAGAGAGCTCCTCCCCATGCAGAGGAAGCACTAGCTGCCCCTTCCATACTGGCAGATAGGCACTGGTCTTGGTCTTTCTATTTGGATGGGGGAAAAGTCATAAGTTTTGGCGGGGGGGGTAACAAACCCCTTTGTAATTCTGTTGAAATTCTAAACCTCTTTTGCAAAAAAATGCAAAACCCATTCCCAGAACTGTGCTCCCACCCCTTGGTTGGAACCCTGAGCAATCTTTGAGGTTTTAACCCTTTGTAAAAAGTTCTACTGATAGGTGAGGCTGCTCTAGCCCCAGGCCTGGGAAGTGGTGCCCCCAGCACAAACACCAGGTCTCCCTGGGAGTAGAGATGAGAGGCTCTCCCAGGCCCGTGCCTGCTCTGCTTGAGAACCCTCTGCATGTCCCCTCCCCGACTTCAGATAGTTCTGAGCACCCAGGCAAAGGCTTAATGGAGTTCATGAATCTCCTAAAATGAGGAGGACATATTTGTGGAGTATATTATACAGGTCTCATGAGGTTTCTTAAATGGGTCTCTGACTCAAAGAAGTTAAGGAACTTGACCTTCCCTGACCTGTCTGGGGTTGGGGTTGGTATTGGAACTTCAGTCAGCATGACTCCCAGGCTGCCCCTATGAGGGGTTTTCAGGAAAGAGGTCTTTCCTGTGGACTGGAAGGCACACTGGGGTCCCCTAGGCCACATCCTCTTGCCCCACACCTATGGTATCTTGGCCTGGGAGGCCTAACAGGCCACTCACCCAGGAAAGACAACCAGATCCTGGGCTAGATCCCCACCCTGAATACCCCTCATGAACCTCCCACTTTCCTGCCCTCCCCCACCTCCACAACAGGCCCTTTATCCTCTGGTCGCTGGGGACTCGGGCAGCTCAGCTCATCCCCCTAGTTTCAGCAGTGGGGGCAGGGAGGGCACACCTGAGCTGAGGCAGAGGTGGGGGGGTAGTTTTCTAGGCCGTTGCCAGGGCAATGCCACCTGAGCTGGGCGCCAGGCACCTGTTGCTCAGGGAACAGTGCGGGCGGGGTGCCTCCCCCGGGAGCCATCAGGGCCACTGGGCTGAGACTGGGGACAGATCAGTTTCCAGAGAGTCCCGGGTAGCAGGTGGCAGAGGGCAGAAAAGGGGGTGTGCGATATTAGAGGAGCTGGGGGCATTTGCACCGAAACTGGGCAGGGGGAAAGTGAAGATGGTAGGGGACCAGGAGCAGCGGGAGGGTCAGGAAGGCCAAGGCTCCCCCATGCCCCCGGGGCCACTTCTTTGTCCTCAGCCAGTTACTTTTTTCCTGTCCCCACCCTCATTCCTTACTCCTTAGCTTGTCCTCAGATTTTCTGTTCATTTGTCACTAGGATTCTACATGCAGGGACACTTTTCCTCCCTGACCCCTCCAGGTCACAGCATTCCCCCCATTGACCCTGAAGCCCCCATCCCACCTCCTACTCACCCCACCTCCAACACTCTCTCCCCCCTTCACTCAAGTTTCCCCAATCAAGTTCCCTGCATTTCACTCTGCTCCTCCCCTGCTGGGCCTTAAAACCACGCCTGCCACAGGAGCCAGAGTCCCCAGGTGGCACCCGCAGAAGGGACACAGCTCAGTGTGAGTCTGCGCCAGTTGGGAAGGGACGTGGTTGTCCTCAGCCTGACGGTGGGTCTGGAGGACTCATGCCAGCTCGGCCGGGACCTGACTGCAGGAAATCCAGGGATCCAATGGATGTCAACTCTTCCAGGGGAGGACACGAGCCACTCAGCTGAGAAGGACCTGAGTCTGCTTTGTGTTGTCCTGTGTGAGGCTTGGAGAAGAGGCAACTTTCAAGAGGCTCAGATGTAAGGACTGCCCTGGCTTGAGGACACTGACGCACTTTCTTCTCCTGCTACGAGCCAAGATTCCACCTCAACATCTTTGACAAACACTCTGAGTCAACCAGGGCACCGAGGGCTAAGAAGACCCAAACAAGGGGACAAATGGCTTCAACTGGCCTGGAACTCCTGGGCATGACCCTGGCTGTGCTGGGTTGGCTGGGGACCCTGGTATCCTGCGCCCTGCCTCTGTGGAAGGTGACCGCCTTCATCGGCAACAGCATTGTGGTGGCCCAGGTGGTGTGGGAGGGGCTGTGGATGTCCTGTGTGGTGCAGAGCACTGGCCAGATGCAGTGCAAGGTGTATGACTCACTGCTGGCACTGCCCCAGGACCTGCAGGCCGCCCGTGCCCTTTGTGTTGTTGCCCTCCTGCTGGCCCTGCTCGGTCTACTGGTGGCCATCACGGGCGCCCAATGTACTACGTGTGTGGAGGACGAGGGTGCCAAGGCCCGAATTGTGCTCACTGCGGGCATCATCCTCCTACTGGCTGGCATCCTGGTGCTCATCCCTGTCTGCTGGACGGCCCATGCCATTATCCAGGACTTCTACAATCCCCTGGTGGCCGAGGCTCTCAAGCGGGAGCTGGGGGCTTCTCTCTACCTGGGCTGGGCAGCGGCTGCACTGCTCATGCTGGGCGGGGGGCTCCTCTGCTGCACGTGTCCCCCACCCCAGGCTGAGAGGCCCCGTGGGCCTAGGCTGGGCTACTCGATCCCCTCACGCTCAGGGGCCTCTGGGCTGGACAAGAGGGACTACGTGTGAGGAACAGGCTTTGGCCTGGCAACTGATGGACTGAAGCCTCCCTCCTCACCCTCTACCACCAACACCCCCCTCCCCCAGGGAAACTCACTTTCCTTTTTTTTTTTTTGCTGGGGCTGGGTTTGAACCCGACACCGGCATATGGGGCCAGCGCCCTACTCCTTTGAACCACAGGCGCCGCCCGGGAAACCCACTTTCCAAAGCCTCGAGCCAGATCAGGCTCCAGATGGTGTCCCTTTCTCCCCCAGCCAGACAGGGCTAGAGCTCTTGGGCACCCTGGCCTGGCCCTGTCTCCCGATAACTGGATAACTGCTTCCTTCTGTGTCCAAGAAACAGGCCGGTCCTCCTCTTTTGAGCCCTCTGCTTTCCCAGGAACCTGGGCTTCACCCACAGGGCAGTAGCTAGTTGACTCTTTAATAAGCAAGTCCAGCCCTGTAGTTAGCCCACTAGCAGGGAGGTTCCACCCAGCACCTCAACCTCAACCCCCACCCCAGAGCTAGGAATAAAAAAAATATTTGTAACTGGGTTCCCTTTGTTCTGTGCGCTGCCGGTCATGGGCAGGGACAGCCAGGTGGGCCTGATTTGGTGGCTGTTAGGCCAAAGCCTTCTCCAGGTCTTGCCTAGTGGGTAACTTCACTCAGGCCATGGGGTCTGAGCCAGGGAAAGCATGGGGTCAAAGGATCATGAATGACTTAGGCCCACCCACTCTGTAGCCAATTTGGGCACTCAACAGCCCCCCAGCAACACCAAAGGCAACATGACAAGACAAGCTTTATTTAGCAAAACCTTGTGAGTGTGGGCAAGCAGGGCAGAAGTAGGGAAGGGGGTGTCTACAGCACAGTTGGATGTGACCTACGGAATGGTCGTGGTGAAAGGATGGAGTAGCCGGTGGTCAGAAGATCAGAGGTGGGCTGGTCTTTGGTAATGTATCACCTTCTCTTCCATAGCTGAGAAGAGGGGCTCAAGTCTAGGGAAGCCTAGCAGCAGCAGGAACTCTTAGGGACAGTCTTGTTACAAAGGCCAGTACAGCAAACAGCCTTCACACTGGTTCTACAGCTCCAGGTTGGCTTCCAAGATAGGATGTCTAAGGTGGAGAAAGATCCAGAAACTCAAAGCATCATCTCTTTGGCTCCATCATCCAAAGGTGAGAAATACCAACAGCAGGATCCAGGTGGGTGCCTAAGTCTGAGTCATCTTCTTGTTCAGTTAACAAGTGGATTTTTAAAATATCCCCCAAAAGTAAAGACAGTAAAAAGCAAAAACAAAAAGTAAGACCCTACCCCAAAGCTGTCAGGCATCATCATCTTTTGATGGCCCCAGCTGAGGAAAGAAAGCTCCAGTGGAGCTTGCATTCTCCTACCCACATCAGACATAATTCTTGGTGGGGTACTCAGAGGGCCCCCGAGAAGTGGCAGGGGCAGATGCTGAGTATCGGGCCATGTAATGGCTGGGGCCCTGGGATCCACCTGAGGGGCAAGTGCAGCAAAGCAGCCCCCCACCCAGCAACAAAAGGCCCGAGGCTGCCCAGCCCAGATAGAGGGAGGCCCCCAGTTCCCTCTTCTGGGCCTCAGCCACTAGGGGATTATAGAAATCCTGGATGATAGCATGGGCTGTCCAGCAGATGGGGATCAGGGTCAGAACCCCTGAGATGACAAAGATGATCCCGGAGGTGAGCACCAGTCGGGCCTTGGAATCCTTGTCCTCCACACAGGTGGTACATTTGGCCCCAGCAAGGTAGACCAGCAGACCTAGCAGGGCCACAAGGAGGGTGATAACGCAGAGGGCACGGGCAGCCTGCAGATCCTGGGGCAGTGCCAGGAGTGAGTCATACACCTTGCACTGCATCTGGCCGGTACTCTGCACCACACAGGACATCCACAGCCCCTCCCACACCACCTGGGCCACCACGATGTTGCTGCCGATGAAGGCGGTCACCTTCCACATGGGCAGGGTGCAGGATACCAGGGCATTCACCCAGCCCAGCAGAGTCAGGACAACTCCCAGGATCTGTAGCCCAGCAGAGGCCATGCTGGAGGTGAGGGGGTGCACTGTACTGGGAGACAGAAGCAGAACATTTAGCCTGGCAGGCCCAGATTCCCATGCCATAGCCACCATACACGATGCCAGGAGCATGCATCCTGGGAGTTAGCTGGTCACTACATTTTGCACTGTGGGCAAGACATGCTCCCTGAGGCTCATTTCTCATTGGCAAAAGGGGCACTTAATGCTTTAGTATTTCTTTCTTTCTTTTTTTTTTTTTTTTGCCTATTATTCTCATCCTGGGTGTTTTGAGTACAAATGAAAGATAACAGTATAAAGCCCATGCAAATGCCAGTCCAGGGCCTTGGCCACTTTTGAGTACATGTTATCAAGTAGCAAAGTGGCAAAAAGGGAAATGAAGAGTGCAATTTCCAGGCAGTTTCTGTGGGTCACACAGATGATGGATCAGCTCTAGCTCTGAGTTTTAAGCTCAAAACTTGTCAGTTTCAACACTAAGATTGGAGATTCCAAACTTTTTCCCATCACCCAATGTCCAAACCCCTCACCCCAGATTGGTTCCATGCCCCTAGGCTGGTGGATAGCAGCTCGATCTTGAGTTTAATCTTGTGTCAAGAGCCTAGCCCACCCACTAACAAGGAGCCACCTCCTTCCTGAGCCTGGAAATTATCCAAGCTTCTGCATCAGGTGGCCTATCAGGCCCAGCCCAAGCCAAGCCCTGAAGAGGCAAAAGAGATGGAGGAACATTAATTCTCCCACCCAAAAGCAGTTCCTTCTCCAAGCTGACTCCATGGGTCTCACCTCTCCAACTTCCCCTAGGGACCAAAGAGCATACTCTCAAGGTTAAGGACATTTTCCTGTGTATACTAGACCAAAATGTCACTGTAGGGTCCTCTCAAATTTCCTCAAATGAAATAAAACCCTTAGAGAGTGCAGTGAACCAGTTCCTCCACCGCCACTCTAGCCTGCACCTGTGTCCCCTCACGTCCCATTTGATGTCGGAGGTTGCGCGGGAATCAACACTGCTTTGGTTCCCCTTGGCCCAAAGTTCTTTCAGGGCGTGGCTTAGACCTAAACTTAGCATGGGCCTCAGCAGCGTGGCCCAAAGGCAGGCCCTCGATTCACTTCTCTTAGTAGCCAGCTCAGGCCTGGGCCGAACTCATGACCTCAGGGAGACCCGCCAACGCGGGCCCCAGGGCCCATGTCCATCCATCACGCCTCCGGCCGAGTTAGGGCCTGGGTCACGCCAACTCAGGCGCCCTAGACCTCTCCTCTGAGTGCACCTCTGCCCTTGCCCTCTTCCTTAAACCCTGAAAGTTCGACTCTGTTCGAGGGTGCCCGCGGCCGCGCACCCAGGAGGGATTTAATGGCGGCGCAGGGTCCGCTTCAGCAGGTGAGGAGGAGCGGATACCCGCCCAAGAGGCAAGGCAGGTGGGGGAGGGGCGCCCGAGGTTTCGGTGCCTTTGTCCCGCGGGAAAGGGGAGGGGCGTTTAACCCTTCCCCCACCGCCGAAGGAATCGATTGATCCGGTAGTTTCTGAGCAGCCCAGGGCTCAGGGACTCGACGACCTGCGTGGATACATCCCCACTCACGCCTCCACTACCTGCACCCGGCTCCGCCGGGCATCTCTCCCCAACACGCACACTTCCCCAAGACTCACCTGCGGAGGAGACTAGGGAAATTCCTAGGACAAAAATGGGGATAAGGGCGGAGGCCGGGGTCTTAAAGAGGCGGTGACGTCACTGGACCACCGCCCCCGGGGAGGGGCAGAGACCCTGTCCCGGACCGCAGTGAGCGTGCAAATCCCAGCCTGGTCAGAGGGGGGTGCTCAAGTCTAGGGCCAGTGAGCCTGCATCGGATAGGATACGGGGATTCCGGCTGGCTGACCTGCTGACCCACTGAGGGTGAACACGCGGGGCTTGAAGCCGAACTGAACTGGAGTCTCAGCTCCATCTACTAATGGGATAACATTGGAAACTCACCTAACTTCGAACCTCAGTTTCCTACTCTGCAAAATGGAGACAAGCCCGTAACTACGATCTGGGGTATAAATTAACGGTCACATTATTTTGTGGTGTTGTTTTATCTGTGGGGCTTTTATCAAAGCTGCACTTATCGCTGCATGGATTATTCGTGTCTGATTCCTCTTGAAGGCGGCAAGGCCGGGCCTTCGCCTCTGTAAATCCTGGGTGGCTGGAGAGACTGCGCCCTGTTTGTTGAACGAATGACTGAACGTAGCGGTCCAAGGGGGGCGGGACGTCCTAGAGCTACTAGCAGTAGGAGCAGAGCAGAGAGCTCCGCCCCGGAAGGCGGGGGCGGGGGCTGGGGCACTGCTTTGGGTACTCGCCGGCCGGCGGCAGCCGCAGACGGCTGCGGCCGCGGGACGCTTACCATGGCTTGCGGGTCGCTGAGACCGATGTTGCGGATCCTCGTGCTGGGGCTAGGACTGGCACTGCTGCGCGCAGCGTCCGGGGAGCAAGCGCCAGGTAAGGGGGGAGAGGGGGCCGAGGAACCCCGGTTGGGCATCGGAAGCCGAGATTAGGTGCCTGGAGAACAGGACGGAACTTGGGGTACATAGGGACCAGGGGTCAAGTGTCTCAGGCACCGCGGTCCGCGCTGGGGAACATCCCATCCGGCTTCAAGCTTCTTCCGCAGTTCGAGCTTCAGTTTCGCTTACTGTCCAATTGGACTGGGGTGGGGTCTTTGGCTCCAAAAGGCCGAACTAGAAGTGGAGAGAGAAAGTAAGTTTGAGGGCGGAATGTTTAGTTTGATAAGAGGGCACGCCCCCAGCCTGATCAATACAGGGTCTAAACAGCCCCAGTGATGGAAAAGTTTTGGGGGGCCGTGGGTGTCGAGAGGCACAAGAGTCTGGGCCCTCTATACCATGTGGGGTGCCCCCTTCCATCCGGTGACTTCAGTGCCCAGCTATGCGGGGGGAGGGACCGGGGTCGGGCCCTGTGCCCAGGAGTGAGTCACCCGCCGGCGGCAGGGGGATTGTGAAGACCTAACACCCCCACCCCCCACACCGTCTCGCGGTATACCTCCCGCCCCGCATTGCCGTGTCCCGGTCGGGCGGTGCGGTCACCTGTGAGGAATGCAGGGGGGAGGATGCCGGTGACTCACGTTATTCGAGCTGGCGGACCCTGACCTCAGACCCCAGAATAGCATGGCCCGCCCCCAGCTTCTGACCAGTGGCCCCCTCCCCAGGCACCGCCCCCTGCTCTAGCGGCAGCTCCTGGAGCGCGGACCTCGACAAGTGCATGGATTGTGCGTCGTGCCCGGCGCGACCACACAGCGATTTCTGCCTGGGCTGTGAGTGGGGGCAGGCTCAGTGGCGAGTGGTCCTTAGCCCGAGGGAGAGGGGTTGCTGGTGCGGAGGGGGACCCAGGACTTCGGAGCTGGGAAGTTAATGCGGAGGGAGGCGGGAGTGGAGAAGGGGCTCAGATTAGGTGGGGGCCTTGGCGGAGAAGTGCAGTTCTAGGGGGCGGAGCTGGTCCAAGGAAGGAGCGAGGTCTGACTTCAAGTCCCATTTTTCAGGCGCTGCCGCACCTCCTGCCCCCTTCCGGCTACTTTGGCCCATCCTAGGGGGCGCCCTCAGCCTGGCCCTGGTGCTGGGGCTGCTTTCTGGCTTCCTGGTCTGGAGACGGTGCCGCAGGAGAGAGAAGTTCACCAGTAAGTGCGCTCTGGCTTGCCTGCCCCCATCACTCCTCCACGTGTCCTGTGTTCCTGAACGACCCTATCTCTTATCTTGCAGCCCCCATAGAGGAGACCGGCGGAGAGGGCTGTCCAGCCGTGGCCTTGATCCAGTGACAGTGAGCGCCCCCTGACAGCTGGGGCGTCACCCATTCATTCATTCATTGTAAAGTCAGCTCATGCCTCCCAGACATAGAGCCAAGCTCCTCCAACAACGGGGGTGGGGGATGAGTGAATCACCTCTGAGGCCTGGGCCCAGGGTTCAGGGGAGCCTTCCATGGTGTCTGATTGCCCTGTCTCTGGCTCCAGGACAGAAAAGGAGCCTCATGCTGGCTCACAAACAGGCTGACACTGTTTAAGGAACTGCACCATTTGCACAAGGGGATATCTCCCTTCCCTGATGGCCTGGGGGCCGGGCTGACTTGAGAGGCAAACACAACCCTAGGCCCCACTCAGATGTACTGAAATTCCACCACTGGTTTCTCAGCTCTGGGAGGGGGTCAGGTTAGGGACCTGTTTTAACACTAGGGGGCTGGCCCTCTAGGAGGGCTGGCCCTAAGATTCAGACCCCCATAATCCCGAAGGGGGGAGAAGTAATTTATTTGGGGGAGAAATTTTGGAGGGGAGGGAGAATTTATTAATAAAGAAATCTTTAACTTTAAATGGTTTGGAGAGTGGCATGATCCCAGCTTGACTCCACAGAGCTGGAGGGAGGGAGTGAGTCAGCCACGGGGGCGGGGGTGAGGCTCTGACTCATACATTCTCAATGCCTGGAGCCCAGCCTGCCAGGACCTGGCTGGCCTTAACCGTTTTCCAGGGAAGATCTTGAGGAGAAACTCCAGAATCCAGTGCCTCTGCCCTCCCCACCCTCCCCAAAGGCCCCAGGTTCCAGACTGAAGCCTTCTTTTGCTTATCAATCTTTATTCAGTTCTCCTGCGGGCAGGGTGCCTCCCTTCCCATACTCTTGCTCTTCCTGTTTCCAGGCTCCACTGAGCTCAGTGTCCTCTGTTGGGGGAAGGTCCTGATACCAGGACCTTCTGGAGAATAGGCAAGCAATTTATCCTTTTGTTGTGGGGGTCGCTGGTCTCTTCTCTTGTGAGGAAGATGAAAAGTGGGAAAGGCACTGCTCACCAGCACTCAGAGCTCCACTGTATCCCCAGCTGGGGCTGCAGAGTAGTGAGGCATGGGGGTGTCCCCCAGCCTGAGCAGCCGGAGTGCCTCGGGGATGAGGCTCCCAGGGTATCTCCAGAGAAGCAGCTCAGAGCAAGGACTCCTGGAAGAAGACATCACAGGGCATAGGGGCTGAGGCTGGCCTGGCTGAGTGACCTCCCACTAGGTCCAGGTTCCCAGAGGCTCCTGGGTTCTCAGCTCTTTCCAAGGAGCTAAGATGGGAAACAACACAGAGGTCAGCTAGAAGCTAAAAATAGCACAATAAGGCCGGGCCTGGAAGTCAGCTCTGAGAATTGGGTGTGACCCTTTAGAAGGCCCGTTGCCTACCTGAGTGGGGGCAAGGCTGGGGGGAAGGCCACGGCGGGTGTACAGTAGGGGTGGTCATTGTGTAGGCTGAGTCGAGAGAAGTGGGTAGCCATGTTCTCCTCAGACAGGAACTGCTTGTGCAAGGGCTCCCTGGGGAGAACGGGGAGAGAGGCAGGCTGGGAAATTGAGAGGGGAGGCAACCTGTAGGAGACCAGAGATGATAGAAATCTTGTTGGAAGTCCCTCCCTGCCCCCAAACTCACTGCTCCTCCTCCAGGCGGCGCTTGGTGCTCATAAGCACAGCTCCTCGGAGAGGGGAGCTGGGAAAAAGAGAGCCAGGTGCACTTCACCCTCTTGGCCCTCTTGGCTCCTTCCCGAGGATCTGCCCGCCGGAGCCTGCAGCGTCAGCCAGGAGTCCCTAGAATATCCCTGTCTCAGCTGACGCCTAAGTCACCTCCCTCTCCCAGTCAGCAGCCTACAAGGGAAGTCTTGACCGTGAGCCCCAGCTCTAACCCCATCTCAGATCAAGCCTAAGCCCCGCCGATTCGCCCCAGCCCGTGTCATCCTGCATGCTAGCCTGAGCCCCCAGCCGATGCTTCTGCGCCCCAAACGTACCTGGCATCTGGGCCCCGAGTCACCCCCAAGGTCGCCTGCGAGCGGCGCTGGGTCCTACCCTGGGGGCCTCGTTCCGAGGGCTGCAGTAGGATCATTGAGGTTCAGGATCCTGCGTGAGGCTCAGGGAGACAGGGGCGGAGTCTCCGAAGGCGTGGTCAAACGGGAGGGGGTGTGGTTTAAGCCGCGCGCAGTGGCTGGGTTCTCGCGCAGGCGCAGAAGACGGGTCGCGCGCGGCTGGAAGGCAGATCTGTTCGGTGGGGTGCGGGGGAGGGGATCCGGGTTAGCCGGTCTGCAGTGGGTGCCACTTCTTAGTGTCAGAGGGCTTTGCGACGCTCACCTCGGCTCCTGGGACTCGGGGAGATACGTGGCGGCCGCCTTCTCGTTGGGCCAGCCCGCAGTGCCCAGGCGGTAGAGCGTCGTGGAAAGGAATCGTTTGAGGGCACGTCTGGACTCGTGAGGCGCCGTCGCGCGCTGAGCACGCTGGAACTTGTAGTTCACAGGATGGAGCGAGCGGTGCCACTAGCTGTTCCGCTGGGCCAGGTAAGTCGACTGTGGTGCGAGGTGCCTTCTGGAGTTTGTAGTCTGTGTTCGGCTCGTTCCTTGAACCGTGTTTTGCGTAGGCTGTTTATGGGACTCGGATTCACGTGGGTGTAGGAGAGTAACCCAGAAGCGTCTCAGGAGCCTAACATCAAAGTCAGAGGGTAGGGATTGGAATTGAGTCAGTACATTTTTCTGTGTCCGGGTAATAGTGCCACTTTTAAATACTTTCTCTGTGGCTGCCCTATGCAATGCTCTTTATATACAGTGGTTCATTAATCATGATAAAATCTCCTTTGAGTTCTGGTTGACAGTTGAAGAAGCTGGTAGGAGATGTTAGGTGCCTGCTCAGAGATAACTAGGTGTCATGCCTCCACTCTTCCTTCTCACACTCTTCTTGGGTGAACCACTCATGGAACTGCATGGGCAGGTGCCTGCTTGATGGATCTACTTGAAAGATGACTGAGACACATGGACAGTGGGAGGTCAGGCTTGCAGTAGGGGAATAGGAAGCAGAGGTTTCAGAAGTCCTGGGCAAGCTTCACCCCATCTCTCTCTGCAGACAGAGGTATTTCAGGCCCTGCAGCGGCTGCACATGACCATCTTCTCCCAGAGCGTTTCACCATGTGGGAAGTTCCTGGCAGCTGGCAATAATTATGGGCAGATTGCCATCTTCAGGTACCCTCAGCTCCTGTTCCCCATTACCCTTTAGCTGTAGTTCTTGACCCACCCACCCCCGGAAGTGATGTCTCCTGCTTCTGACTCTTGGGGCCCCCTCCCCTCTCCTCTTCAGCTTGTCTGCTGCTTTGAGCTCAGAGGCCAAAGAGGAAAGTAAAAAACCCATGGTGACCTTCCAAGGTAGGTGTAACCATTGAGTCTGGCTTAGGTACTTTGGGGTAGAGGAGAGGGAAGATAAGCTCACTCAAGTTCTGCATTTCCCTTTAGCCCATGATGGTCCCATCTACAGCATGGTCTCCACTGAACGACATCTGCTCAGTGCTGGGGATGGGGAGGTGAAGGCCTGGCTTTGGGTGGAGGTCCTCAAGAAGGTAAGGAGAGGAGCAGGGAAAGGCTTGGGTGCTCTGCCTCAGAGAGCCTTTTAGCTCACCAGGTGTTTCTTCTATGAAGGGCTGTAAGGAACTGTGGCATCGCCAGCCCCCATACCGGTGAGCCGGGGCCATGTGAGTAGAGGGCATGGGGGTTGAAGATACTCCCTTAACTGATTCTAACCCTGCCTTTCCTTCTCCAGGACCAGCCTGGAAGTGCCTGAGATCAATGCTTTGCTGCTGGTTCCCAAGGTCTGTGCCCTTTGAGTCTGTTCTCGGCCCAGACTTTGCTTCTTCTCCCTTTGTCCTGATTTGACGATGACTTCCAGTCTTATCCTGCCTCAGGAGAATTCCCTCATCTTGGCTGGAGGAGACTGTCAGTTGCATACTATGGACCTTGAAACTGGAACTTTCACAGTGAGCAGGGCCTTGGAGCTGGTGGCAGGTCCAGGGCAGGGGGAAGCACTCTTCCTAGGTCTTCTGACATTGCCCTCTCCCTGCAGCGGGCCCTCCGGGGCCACACAGACTACATCCATTGCCTGGCACTGAGGGAACGGAGCCCCGAGGTGCTGTCAGGTGGAGAGGATGGGACTGTGCGACTCTGGGGTAAGGGGTTAGTTGGTTGGAGGGCAATATGGCAGTGAGGGAGGCTAGGGCATATGGGGCACCTCTTATGGTTCTTCCCCTACAGACCTCCGCATGGCCAAGGAGGTCCAGACGATTGAGGTCTATAAGCATGAGGTGAGAGCATGACCCACACCTATTCTCCTCTCCTCAGTGTCCCCTAGGTCTTCACCCCTTGCTCTCCTTTTCCCCTACCAGGAGTGCTCAAGGCCCCAAAATGGGCGCTGGATCGGCTGCTTAGCAACTGACTCAGACTGGATGGTGAGCTGGGCAGAATGGTGATGAGATGGTAGCTTTGGGGCCTATTAGCTGTGGGCCTGTGGCTCACAGTGGCTGGGGATCCCTGCCTTTCTGCCCAGGTGTGTGGAGGCGGCCCAGCCCTCACTCTCTGGCACCTCCGATCCTCCACACCCACTACTGTCTTCCCCATGAGGGCGCCACAGAAGCATGTCACATTCTACCAGGACCTGGTGAGGCCCTCTGTCTCATTTGTACTACCCTAAATGTCTCATTTGTGTTACCCTCACCAGCTTCACTCTACAGCCCTGAACCAACCCCGCCCTTGTCCTCCACAGATTCTGTCAGCAGGCCAGGGTTGCTGTGTCAACCAGTGGCAGCTGAGTGGGGAGCTCAAGGCCCAGGTGCCTGGCTCCTCCCCAGGGCTGCTCAGCCTCTGTCTCAACCAGCAGCCAGCAGCGCCTGAATGCAAGGTGGGCCTTCCAGTGACTGGGGTGGGGGTGGGGGTCCTGGGAGTGTGGGGCAAGTCAGTCATGCCTCTCTTGCCTCCAGGTCTTGACAGCTGCAGGCAATAGCTGCCGGGTGGATGTCTTCACCAACCTGGGCTACCGAGCCTTCTCTTTGTCCTTCTGACCTCTGATGACACCCCCACATCCCAGGATATACAGTGTTCTTTTCATTTTTTATAATAAAGTTCCAGGCTTTTCTTTCATGTACTTCCTTCCCAAGAATGAGGCTAAAGTTGTAGTGATTTATATATTACTCTGATTTTGATACATAAATACCCAGCCCCACCCCTTCCCCTAGTGCTTAGAAAAGATAGATCTATAGAGATTCCAAAAATAGACTGCTCTGCCCCACTTGCCCCCGCTACCTACTGGGGCCTCTGGCCCCTAAAGCTGGCCCCTGCTCGTGCTGAGCTCCTGCCCAGCCTCCTGAGGCAGGGACTGCAGCAGCCCCGATGGGAAGACAGTCTGGGCCCTGTTGCTCCATTGCCCAGAGGAGGAAAGTGTGCCCCAGAATGGCCAAGGGCAGGCCTCTAGGCCCAGCCCTCAGGTCCTTCGGAAGAGGTTGCTGAGGAAGGTGCCAGCGGTCCCAGGACCCAGGCGTAGTGAGAATCGGGGCGCAGTGTGGCGAGGGGTCGACGATGAGGCCGCACTGAGCTCTTTCTGGCGTTGGGAGCGCAGCTGCTGCCCGATCACCACCTGCATGTCGTCCTGTGGGAGGCCAGCGGAGGGGCAAGTCAGCACGAAGGCCCCCGCCTCGGCCCCTCCGCGGCCCCGCCTCGGCCCCGCCTGACCTGCCAGGCCTCCAGCTCCTGCGTAAGCGCCACCTTCTGGCGGATGGCGCGCATCAGCTCCCGGGAGAGAGAGTCTCGTTCCACCGAGATGCGGCTAAGCTCCATGGACAGTGCCAGGGCCCTATGGGCGGGAAGAGTGGAGACTGGTCCAAGGGGCGCTGGGACCTTCTGGACCCAGGCGAGAGGGCGGGTCCCCGGGTTGGAGTAGGGACAGTCATAACCCATATTACGGGTGGGGGGAATTGGCAGCCCAGAAGCACCAGAATGCCCTAGGGGCCCATAGCCTCAGTGGTGGGCGGTTAGGTGATGAGTGGGGGGAGGCTCACTTGTTCACAGCCTCGTCCCGATCCAAGAGGGCGCCGTTCAGAGCCTCTTCTGGGTTGTCTTGCGCTCGCAGTTCCTTCTGCCTTTGTAGCTCTTCCTGTAGGGACTGCAGCTCTGCCCGCTGCAGCGCAATCTGTGTACAGAAGAAGGAACAGCAAGGCAGATAGGCCTCCTGCCTGCTCAACAAATGTCCTAAGCAACAGTAGCCCTGTGTTCCTGACTCCACCAGGCTGGTGCAGGGTGGGTGAGGGAGAAGGCTAGTTGGGATGGCATAAGCCTGCAGGAGGAATGCAAGAAGCATCCACAGTGGGACTAAGGGGAGGAAGTGTGGTCCAGGAAATCTTCCTGGAGGAGGTGGCATATAGACTGGCTTTGAAATATGATGGCAAGATTGATGAGATGAAGGGCAAACCAGGTTTAGGGGGCTTAGTGGGCAAAGGCTGGGAGGTGGATACCAGAAAGAGAAACTGACAGCTAGAAGGGTCCTGCTGTGCTCCTCCCACCTCATCCTGTAGCCTGGCCACTTCTGCCTCCTTCTCCTCCAGTATCTCCGCTGGGCTCAGAGATACTTGCTCTTTGGGGGGCTCTAAGCTGTCTTCCTGGGGTGAGGGCTTGCAGCTGGACTTCTCTTGGGTCTCTGGAGACAGGGTGGTCTGTGGCCAAAGGAATCAGTCAGTACAATCTTTATTTATTTATTTATTTTTGAGAGAGACAGAGTCTCATTATATCACCCTTAGTAGAGTGCCGTGGCAACTCAAACTCCTGGGCTTAAGTGATTTTCTTGCCTCAGCCTCCCAAGTAGCTGGGACTATAGGGACCCGCCACAACACCTGGCTATTTTTTGTTGCAGTTGCCATTGTTCTAGCTGGCCCAGGCTGGGTTTGAACCCACCAGCCTCAGTGTATGTGGCTGGCTCTGTAACCACTGTGCTATGGGCACTGAGCCAGTCAGTGTAATCTTGTGCGGAAAGGAGCGAAGGTGGGAGGCAGAGCCTGCATCCTTCCTGATGGCATGGATAGGGGAGGTAGGTGGTCCATGGGCTCACCAGGGCATCTCCATGAGTGTCCATGTCCTGGCCCTGATCTCTGTCCAGGCTGTGGGCCAGCTCTGACTGTAGTGAGGCACCTGACATGTCAGCGTCCTGGAGGCGTGACTCCTCCTCCAGCTCTGAGACATGCCTCTGCAACCTTCGCAGTGCACTCAGTGCCTCCCTGGCTTCGGATTGTGCTCGTTCCAGCTGTGGACAGTTGTAGGTACTGAGTGGGCTCACTTACGCACCCAGTGTCTGCATTCCACAGCAGGTCCATGGTTGAGGGGGCAGTGCTGGAGCACCATGGAAGGCCAGGCAACCCCATACATCCCCACATTCCAGTAGCCCAGGCCTCTTCTACTCCTAGATCACTGGGTAGCCTTGGGCTCAGCACTTGCCCTCAGCAGATACCAATTTCCTTGCCCATGAAGCAGGGTGTGGCCTGGTCCAACCTCATAGAGCCCCATCTCTGCCCCTGCTTGTTCTACCTTCTGACTCAAACTGCCTTGGTCCAGCATTTATTGATCTTCTTTTAAGCCTCATACCTCAGTACAGTCTCATACCTCACTTTGGCCCTAGGAGTAGTTAGCATTACCATCCCATGTTGCAGATGGGAAAACTGAGGCTGGTTGTCCCACATGCTAAGAAGGGACACTGGATAGATAGGAAGTCAGGCAATCTGACCACATTACAGACCTTGAAATCGCAATCAGACTATGCTCCTTCTTTTCATCCCCTTTTTCTGTAATGCATTCTAAGCTCAACAGACTTCCAGTGCTCCCATTTGCCCTTAAGCTAATGCCCATGCTCTTGTGACTCTGCTGGAGTTCCCAGTGATCCAGCTCTGTCCTATCTCCCAGAAAGCCCTGAAGCCATTCCCAAGGGTTCAGCTTGTTATAACCCCCAGCCCTGTAGGTCACCCACCTCCAGGCTGTGCTCCCGCTTCTCCCGGCGCAGCAGCAGCAATTCCTCATGGGTGGCCTGGAGTCTTCCCTGGCCCTTCTCCACCTCCTCATGCAAGCCATTAATCTGGGCCTCCAGGTCCTGTCGACGGCTCTGCAGCATCTGGTTCTGGGGAAAAGCATCAGAGCTGGGACAAGGGATGCTAGTCCAGCCCCTGATAGTCCCCAGCCCAGCCTTTATGGCTTAGACCCCTGCCCCCAGCTGGCACTCACCTCTCCCTGCAAACTTTCCAGCTGTGTCCTCAGCTCTGCCCCGGCCAGGGCATGAGCCTGGCACTGCCCCCGAATGGTTTCCAGTTCTCTGTGAAGCTTCTGCTCAGTCTGGGAGGCCTAGGGAGAGGGGAAGGGGGCAGAGAAGCCTCAGCTGGGCCAAGCCTCACCACCAAGCCCAACACACCCACCCATCCCCCAGTGAGAAGCCAGGCACCTGCCCCACTTTGCCCATAGACCTGGAGTCAGGGCTGTGTCCCACCTGGGCCAGCTGCTGGCTGAGCCGGAGGTTCTGCTCACTGAGTTCACTGAGGGCCCGTGCCCGCTCACGCCCACTGTCCTGCTGCTCTGAGCGCTGCTCCCCCAGCTGGGCCCGCAGAGCTTCCACATCCCCTTCCAGCTCTACAGCCCTGGCTTCCCACTCAGCCCCCCGGGCTTCCAGGCCCCGGCGGAGCTCATGGTTCTCCTGCTGGAGCCGCTGTGGAAACCAGAGGAGAGGGACAGAGACAGAAGGGCAGAGATGAGACTGGGGCCAACTCTCAAAAAGAAAGCCTGAGAGTGTCTGTCTAAGACAGACCTGAAAGCAAGAGTCAGGACAAAGGGGGCAGAGAATGTGAAAGCCAGAGACTCAAAGGTGATGGGGGAAGCAATAGAGAGAAAGTTCCAGGGCAGACAGGAGGGGCAGACCCTGGGCAGGGGCAGGGGTGTGGGGCTTCCTGATGCCCACTCACCTCTGGCTGCTGCCTGGACTTCTGGACCCGAGATCGAAAGCGCCGTTTTTGGCGCCTGAGTCTGGCAGAATTGAAGCCCCGGCCCATGGCTGCACACACCTGCTGTGTTCCAGGGGCTCTGGAGGCCTGGCCTCTGCCCAGCTCCCTCTAATTAACCTTGGTCTAATTAACCTACCCTGGTCCCCAAACCTGTCTGACTAGTGGGGGGACGCCCTGGCACAGCCAGCGTGGGGAGGCAGACAGGTTAGGGGTTAACCTCTGATCCTCTCTGCAGGCCCTCAGAAGGGAGGGGGCTAGCCCAGGTGCTGATTACCACCACAGTTGTGCAGTCACCAGGGTCCTGGAGCTAACGCATCATCTGCACTATTTCACATCATCCACTAGAGGGAGACTCCTGGACATCCTCAGTTTACAGATAAAGAAGCTAATTAGGGCTTGGAGAGGTTAAATGTCTTGCCCAAGGACACACGGTAGGTTAGCAGGGCAGAGAAGCCACTCAAGTGGCAAGGTCTTAATTGAATACTGTGGGAGCAACAGCCCCAGAAATAAGCTTGCAGATTCGGGGTCTAATTGTCCTGGCTGGAGCTCAGCTCTGCTGTGGCTATGTGGTCTGGGCAAGTCCTTTAATATCTCTAAGTCTATCCTTCCAGCCACTATTTCCTAAGCTCCTCCTGGCTATCAATAATAAGCAGTACCACCAAGTACACTGCCTCAAGCAGCTTTGAGTCCCAAAGTCCAATGAACACACGTTTTTGTTTGTTTTTTTTTTGGAGACAGAGCCTCAAGCTGTCCCCCTGGGTAGAGTGCTGTGACATCACAGCTCACAGCAACCTCCAACTCCTGGGCTCAAGCGAGTCTCCTGCCTCAGCTTCCCGAGTACCTGGGACCACAGGCACCCGCCACAATGCCCAGCTATTTTTTGGTTGCAGCCGTCATTGTTGTTTGGCGGGCCCGGGTTGGATTCGAACCTGCCACCTTGGGTGTATGTGGCTGGCGTCTTAGCCACTTGAGCCACAGGTGCCGAGCCAACACACATTTTAACTTTAGAGGGACAGTGAGGGCTGCAGAGAAACCAGACAAGTGATAAAGACTAGGAGTGGCCCCTTCAAGGGGGGTGAGATATTTGAGTTGACTCTCCTAGGACAGGAGGGAATCAGCTAACCATTAGGAAACAGCAAATGCAAAGCCCTGAGGGCACAGGTTTAGTTACTGGAGGAACTAAAAGAAGACCCAGAGAAGGAGGGCTGGGCAGGTCTATGTCAGCTGAGATGAGGCTGGGGAGGAGGCTATCAGGGACTTTTAGGCCTGGGTGAGGAGTTTCAGTTTCATTCTAACTGTGATGGGGAGCCATTGGGAGATTCTGGGTGAGGAGAGAAATGATCTAATTTGCAATCTTTGAAGATCACTGGGCTCTAGGAGGAAAGAGAGTAGAAGCAGGGGATCAGCAAGCAAGAAGGTGGCTACAGTGTCTGGGGCAGAGGTGATGGAGGCTGTGATCAGTACAGAGGCTGCAGGGATGAGAAGATGGTTTGAAATCTAGTTTAGAGCTTGGCGCCTGTGGCTGAAGCAGCTAAGGTGCCAGCCATGTACACCTGAGCTGGTGGGTTCAAATCCAGCCCAGACCCACCAAACAAATGGCTGCAACCAAAAAATAGCTGGGCATTGTGGCGGGCGCCTGTAATCCCAGCTGCTTGGGAGGTGGAGGCAGGAAACTAGCTTGAGCCCAGGAGTTGGAGGTTGCTGTGAGCTGTGATGCCACAGCACTCTACCCAGGGGGACAGCTTAAGGCTCTGTCTCAAAAAAAAAAAAAATCTAGTTTAGAAGAATCAACAGGGCTTGCAGATGTAGCATGGAGAGTGTGCACTCAAGAGGTGTAGGAGGGATACAGTTTCTGGTCCACAGGTGGGAAGACAAGGATGGGGAGGGACAGCAGGTGAAGGGTCATAGGATCCAGTGCCACTTATGTTGAAATGCCCACTAGGTGGGCCCTATGGACAGGGTAGGTGGTTAGCTACCCAAGTGGCCTCAGGGCAGAAATAGGAAGTTTTGTTTTTTTTTTTTTATTTGAGACAGAGCCTCAAGCTGTCCCCCTGGGTAGAGTGCCGTGGCATTACAGCTCACAGCAACCTCCAACTCCTGGGCTCAAGCGAGTCTCCTGCCTCCGCCTCCCAAGTAGCTGGGACCACAGGCGCCTGCCACAACGCCCGGCTATTTTTTTTTGGTTGCAGCCGTCATTGTTGTTTGGCGGGTCCGGGCTGGGGATTTGAACCCGCCACCTTAGGTGTAGGTGGCTGGCACCTTAGCCGGTTGAGCTATAGGCGCCGAGCCAGGGTGTTGTTTAAAGGTCCAGATGTGAGCCCTCCATGAGAATGTGGCCAAAAATAGAACCTGGGCAGAGGAAAGAACTTCCTACCTCAACCATCTGGGGGAGAAACAAGTGAGATGATGCCTGAAAAGCACTTAGGCTGGTGCTGGGCTGAGAGTGGGTGCCTAGTAACTGTGGGCTGAGGTTATACTATGCTGTTGAGGAGCTGGACCTGAGGCCCAGAGAGCACCAACAGCTGACCTAGGGTCATATAGCTAGGTATCTATCCAAGTCTTGACTTGACATCAGAGTTCATGTTCAACTCTGCCAGGGGGACTGGGCCCAGCCCTGAAATGTTTCAGAGTCATCTTGATACCCACCTGCCTGCCCCATGCATCTCTCTCCACCCCTGCCTGGCTTCCTTCCCTTGTCCTCCCCCACCCCGGCCCAGGTCCCTGTCCTTCCTCTGCCTACCTGTCCTCCCCCTGCTTACCTGCACACCTGCCTGGACTCTGCCACCAGCCCTCCATCCAGGCCCCCACTGCCCACTCACTTCCTCACGCTCCGAGTGCTGGGCACTCAGCATTTCCAGCTGCCACCGAAGCTCCTCATTGCGCTCCAGAAGCATCTTGCCAAGTTCTGCTGCCAACAGCAGGTCTTTCTCTTTCTGCTGCAGTTGCAAGGCCAGGTCCTCAGGCTCCTCAGGCCCTGGGCCCCCTCCAAGAAATGAGTCCCTCCGCTCCAGCACAAAGGGGAAGAAGCCCTCATTGCCACCGGGGGAGGTGCCCCCAGAGAGGAGCCCTGATGGGAAGCTTGGCCCATCTGGAGAGCTCATGGCACCTGCAGCATCTGTGGGGACACATCATTCTGTGTGTCCATTCTGGAGCTTGATGGGGCTGCCCCCGACTGGCCAGCATCTGCTCACTGGCCCTCCCAGGCTGCAGCCAGGGCTTCCCTGATCCAAGTAGGTTTTTTTTTTTTTGAGACAGAGTCTCACTTTATCACCCTCAGTAGAGTGCTGTGGCATCACAGCTCACAGCAACTTCCAACTCCTGGGCTTAGGCGATTCTCTTACCTCAGCCTCCTGAGTAGCTGGGACTACAGGTGCCCACCACAATGCCTGGCTATTTTTGTTGTTGTTGCAGTTTGGCCAGGGCTGGGTTCAAACCTACCACCTTCAGTATATGGGGCTGGCACCCTACCCACTGAGCCACAGGCACCACCCCTATGCAGGGTTAATAATCTGTGTTTTGGAGCAGCACCTATGGCTCAAGGAGTAGGGCACCGGCCCCATATAGCAGAGGTGGTGGGCTCAAAACCCAGCCCCGGCCAAAAAAAAAAATCTGTGTTTTGGTCACCAGCTCTGTTAATGTCCCCAGAAACTGAGACATGAAGCAGAAGGAAATGAGCTACTTTGCCTTGGTCTCTGCCAGACATTCTTTCTCCCCAGAAAACCTTGTTCCAGTACACAGTACTCTAGCACTACAGGCCAACCCTGTTCCCAGAACCCAGCTGTGCAACTTCCAGCCCCTCACCATCTGGGAAGCAATTTCCAGAACCCAGATAGAGACTCCATGCTCAGGGATGAGTGCAGCCTTTGTCTTCCCAAGAATGCAGAACCCTAGCCCTTGGGAAATGAGGTGTTCTGAAGCTTCTGAGGAATCCAGCACCCTCCTCTCCCAGAAGCCCAGGAGCCCAGGCTCCTCAGGGCTCAGCTGTCCTGGGCCTCATTCTCTTATTTCCTCAGGGCCCTGGTGGTTTGGCCTCCACCCTCTAGACTTAGGTTCCCACCCCCAATGTCCACCCTTCCTGGATTTTCACACCAGTCGTCTATTTTCTGCAGGGCCCAGTTCTCCCCTATGCTCCCTACCCTTCTGGACCCAGGAACCCCAACCCCCAGACCCTTAGTTTCCGAGGGCCCTGGCATCAGGCCCCTGACAGGGCGAGGTAACAGGTTGTGCCAGCCAGCCCCACTGCAACCAACACTCAGGGTTTCTGTTTACTTCCCGCCCCGCCCTAGGGATTGGAGGCCTGCTCTCCCCTAGGGCTGCCCAGGGCCAGGGACTCAGGGGCTCCGGAGGGAGAGCCGGGCACAGCTGCTGACCTGCTCCATCCGTCCCAAGGGTCTCCACCCCCTGCACACATCTGTGCTCACCTGTCCCACCTAGTCCCCTCTCCAGGGGTCCCAGCGCAGCCCTCCTCCGAGGTCTCAGATGTCGGCGCTCCCAACCCAGCCACCCCCAGGATCTCTCAGGGTCTCATCATCGTGGTCCCGCGCTCGCCTCCGCTCGCCCCCACCCTGGAAACTCGGGCGTCCCTGCCCCTATCCTTTCCTCCCCGAGCAGGAGCTGAGCACCTTAACTCCGGATCAGGGCCCTCGACCCATGACCCCCCAGCCCCAAGCGTCCGAAGTAAACCGCCACCTTGCTTCCTGCCGGTTCCCCCAGTTTCCTGGCGGTTCCAAGAAAAGGTCCCCGTCCTGGCTTCTCCTTCAACCCCTCTCCATCCTTCCCCGCCTACCTGGCCCGCCCGCTCCTGCCCAAAGCTCGAAGAGCCTCGCCCCTGACGCCCCCTAGGCTCTCACCGGCCTCGGTCGGGTTCCCTCTGAGGTCCCAGTGGTCCCAGTCCCCTCTTCCGGAGGCGGCGCCAGGTGCGCGGCTGGCACAGGTGAAGGGGCGGTGCCGCGGGAGGGGCTGGGGCGCTCCCTGGTGGCCAGAATGGCCAGGTAAGGCCGGGAAAGTTGTCTCCGTCTTGATCTAAGGCCAATCCTACCAGGCAGTCTAACTGAGCGACTCATGTGTCAGACCCTGCTTGGGGTCCCCTGGGCAGAACTACAAAGTGAACAGCAGCAGTGCGGAATTATGTTCATGTTCTTCACTGATTGCCATGCTGCAGATGAGGACACTGTAGCTCAGACAGCTAAAGTGACTTAGACTTGGACTGGTGGCTCACCCTTGTAATCCCAGCACTTGGGGAGGCTGAGGCCAGTGGATTGCTTGAGCTCATGAGATGGAGACCAGCCTGAGCAAGATCAAGACACCATCTCTAAAAATAGCCGGATGTTGTGGCAGGTGCCTGTAGTCCCAGCTACTTGAGAGGCTGAGGCAAGAGAGGCTGACACCGTGGATTTCTACCGAGGGTGATAAAGTGAGACTCTGTCTCAAAAATAAATAAATAAATAAATAAATAAATAAATAAATGTAAAGTGACAGAGCCATGTTTGAGTCTGTGTGGCTCCAAACTTGGGACTTTCAGTTTTGTTTTGTTTTGTTTTGTTTTTTGAGACAGAGCCTCAAGCTGAGCCCTTGGGTAGAGTGCCATGGCTTCACTGCTCACAGCAACCTCCAACTCCTGGGCTCAAGCGAGTCTCCTGCCTCAGCCTCCCAAGTAGCTGGGACCACAGGTACCTGCCACAATGCCCGGCTATTTTTTGGTTGCAGCCATTACTGTTGTTTGCTGGGCCCGGGCTGGATTTGAACCCGCCACCTTAGGTGTATGTGGCTGGCGCCTTAGCTGCTTGAGTCACAGGCGCCGAGCCAGGACTTTCAGTTTTTGATTTGTGCAGGGCTGGGCCCCGCGCTCCAGTCTGGGACAGAGGTCTTGTTATGGAGATGAGAGGATGCAGGGCTGGATTCCAGGGCCCAGCCCAGAGCACCTTATGTGGAGTGATGCCCCAGCCATAGCCTAATAGCTGCTTATGATTTTCTTCAGAACTCCAGGGCTCCCTGGGCCTTATGACAGGGGCCCCTGGCCTGGAGAACAGGACAAGCAGAGGATTGGGAGAGTGGTATACTGGTAAATCTGTAGCAATAGGCTCTCTAGTTAAAACAAAAGCTCTGAGCTGTTGCGTTTGCCAGTTTCTACAGTGTAAGTGGGTTCTCCTTCACTGATTTCCAGCTTTGACAGAATATCACTGAGTGAAGTTGGAGAGGATCATGCATCAATAGCTTTTGCCCTTGAGTATCAGCTGGGTCCACACACGCCTGTGGTTGGAGGTCAGGACTTCTGACTCTTGAGATGGCTATAAGCCTGTTACCTGGGTTCTAGAAAAATAGGAGGGTAGAAGCTAGTTCTGGTTTATGGGAGAAGGGGTACAAAGACTGCTTGGAAGGGTGGGTTTGAGGCTGGGATTCTTAGGTCCCAAGGGTGGGACAAATTTTCCTGCCAGGAGAGGGTAGAGGTTGCCCATTCCTTTGCAAAGGGACCCAGATAGTCACCTTAGAGCAGCGGTTCTCAACTTGTGGGTCAAGACCCCTTTGTAACAATGACAATACATCGCAGCATTAGGAAGGTTGAGAACCACTGTCTTAGAGCCACCTCACCTGGCACCTGTGGGAGTGGCCTTATAGTCTTTGTAGGGTTGAAGATGTCCCAGCCTCCCCTGGATGCTGCCACATGACCCCTTGGAAAATATAAGCTCAGGGTGGTGCCTGTGGCTCAAGGAGTAGGGCGCCGGCCCCATATACTGGAGGTGGTAGGTTCAAACCCGGCCCAGGCCAAAAACTGCAAACAATAAATAAATAAAGAAAAGAAAAGAAAGAAAAGAAAATATAAGCTCAGTGTCCCTTCCAAATGACAGTCACTGCTTGGTGCCTGTGGATCAAGTGGCTAAGAAGCCAGCCACATACACCTGAGCTGGCGGGTTCGAATCCAGCCTGGGCCCACCAAACAACAATGACGGTTGCAACCAAATGCCAGTCACCGTGGGCCCCACTCATACCACACCCATGAGGGCTGAGCTCATCTGGAGATGAAATGATCAAGGCCCTGCTCCCAGAAGGTTCACAGTCCACCCAGGACATGGGAGGCAGTGTAGACCTGTAAACCAGAATGAACTAATAAAACAATACAGCAAAGGAGCTTGTTTTGTGGGCACTGGCATCACAAGGCCATGGCTTCAGTCCAAATTCCAGTCTGGCTACTCACCAGATGTGTATGCTTGCGCTATTCAGCTGAATAATCTCTGCAGCCCTCAGCTTCTCCATCTGTAAAGTGGGGGTGATAGTGCACTATTTTGTAGGGGTATGAACAAAAGGGTGAAGTGCCAGCAATTAGTCATTGCTGGTAATCCTCCCCATGGCCACCAGAGGCAACTCATCTGCATGTCACATTGTAGTTCAGCCTCACACCATCTCAGAGGTAAAGCTCAGAGGTAAAGTTATTTGTCTGTGTATACATTGCAGACTCTTCATCTCAGCTTGCCTGTCTGTCAGCTGTTACTCTTTGGACATTTGAATCTCCTCTCCAACCTTCTATGGACCCAGGAGTCCTGGCCTATAGTTTCTCTGCTGGACTGAGTCCTGGCACCCAGCACTTGAAGCCCCCTAGATCTCTCCTACATAGCCTCTTGATGACGCCAGGAGGAGGATAGAAGGACACAGTGACTCAGGGAAGTCCTGGGGAGGCTGAGACATGTCTGGCTAAGTAGGGAGGGTTGACCACCCAGCCCTCATCTGCTCTCTGGCCTGGCCCCCAAAGAAGCCCAGGCCCATGCTCAACCTAGAATGTCTTTCTCCACCTACCCACCTATTTCCTGAGCACGTCTCACCTGGGTGTTAGAGCAGGGTCTCCTACCTAGGGAAGCCATCCTGGATCTCACAGGGCCTAGGCAGTCTATGTTGACATCCAGAGGCCAGTAGGACACCAGCAGATGCCACTACACTCCCTGCTGATCCACAGAAGCACCCTGTGCCTCCAGGCTTTTACAAGATATATGACATCTGTAAACAATAGGTAGTATTGGCCGGTCACCACAGTGGCTCACACCTGTATTCCTAACACTTTGGGGCTCGGGGCCTGTGGCTCAAGTGGCTAAGGCGCCAGCCACATACACCTAAGGTGGCGGGTTTGAATC